GGTCTAGCTTTAGCTAAACAAGTTTTTCTAATGACTTTGTCAACAAATGTGCGCAGTAATTGACGACTGACAACTGACTGCAGCAGCAGCAGCAGAAGCTCTTACCAACGCACGAAATCCAACTTGAGTTCTGGTTACATACGATATCTTTTCTTCTTCTTTTTTAAAGGAGTTTTTCTTATTTGCAATCTTAACTTTTCTTTCTTTCTTAGTTAGTTAGTTTAAATTAGCTGGGCATTCGATTATTTCTTGGCTTAGCTAATACGCGCGTTAATACGTGTCACAACTTTGTGCTAATTTATTCGTATTACTCACATTTTACTTTTAACAAAATGTACTTTTTTTTGTATTTTAATTTCAATTTGTTTAATTTGTGTTTTATTATTATTTAAATATTTATTTAAACTATTCAGGAGGATAGTTAACAGTGCCTTAATATATACTGCTTACCAACCCCCTTAACTGGGAACAGTTAAGCAATAATGCGTTCCACAAGCAGGGGTAAGGCCTAAGCAGCGCTGTTAAGTAACATATAACTGCAATGTTATTGTAACAGCTGTAAAGTTGCTATAAATTTCACACAATATATGTTAAGTTGCCATAAATTGGACTAACAGCTGCCACATAACATAATTTTAACGTAAGCCAATCAGAAGGGGCAGCTGTTAGGCTGTAACATTAACATTTTGATAACATGCAGTCCACAGCTGTTGTCAGCTCTGTGGAGCGTAGTGGATTTTATTTACGCATTTTAATTAAGCGAATTCAATTTGCATGTTTAATGGCAATTGGACGTTGGCTAAGTGAATTTCGCACATAAATGCCGTTATGTGATGAATGTCCTTTGCAGCAGGAGCCGGGAGCCGGGAGCAGCAGCAGTTTGCACTTCGCCCCGCAGTCATGTGATTTTCGAACAGCACCCAAAGGTATGCTACAAATTATTGTATCGCTGCGCACACACACGCACGCAATTCCGGTTGCTGTTCGGCACATTGTGGCGACATTAGCATTGAGCAAATTGTCAATTGAATTGTGCAGCATAATTGGAATATTAAATGTTTACAAAATGCAATATACAAATACACGAGCAGCAGATACAGCCAAAACAAGAAGCGCAGCAACAACAACAACAACAAGAACAAGAACAGCAACAACAACTGCAACAATGCTGCAATTTGCACTTAAATGCACACGCACAACAAGCATAAATCAAACAAGCGCAACCGAGCCCCTACACCCCCCGCTGAGCCACGCCCCGCTGCCCACTTGCCACTTGGCACTGCCGTGTTTAGTGGCCTGTTTCCAATGATTTGCATTTGAAACAATGACAGCATTTTGATAGCATACCCCAGAAACCCTATATCAAGTGCTAGCCCGAGCTGTTTGTCAGGTTGTTGAGTGCGTGTGTGTGTGTGTGTGTGTATTGATACCCCCACTGGACACTCGGATATGTGTGTAGTGTGTTTGTGAGAATTGAGTGACCATCATGTAAAATGCAACCAAATTATTTGCCAATTGTTTGATTTGTTGTTGCTGGTGTTTTTGTTGTCGTTGTAGTTATTTTGATAGCTGTGGCGCGGCAATTGGTGCTTCGTTATTGATATTTTTGTTGCCAAGTGCAATATGTCAACAATATTTAAATAACATGCAACAAATAATAGCTCCAACAACAGGAACAACAACAACTAGCTCATAAATATTAACACTTGATAATGGCTGCATTTTTGTCACATTTTGGTCAAATGCATTCGAGAGGCAGCACATAAAATATACATGAAGCATAATGAACTGTCTCTGTGCCCCTATGTGTGTGTGTGTCCCTGTGTGTGTGAGAGTGAGTGCGGTCACGCCCACTGTCCACTGTCCAGCCTGGCTAGAATGTGCAACTGACAAAAGCACCAACAGCACACAAATTCGTTGCCCAAGGAGCAGCTGCGGCCAAAAATATAAAAAAAAAAAATAACATAAATAAAAGAAGAACTATGAAAAATAAAATAAAATCAAGAAAATTTTCGGTACGTTTTGGTTTAGTTTTAAGTTTTTAGTTTTTTGGCCAGCAGCGTTTTTAAGTGCGGATATTTTATGAATTTTATACGCTGCTTGACCTGCCAGCATCATGCCAGCTTGCCAGCCAGCCAGCCTGCCCCTGTCCCTGTCCCTGTCCCTGCCACCGCCCACGAGCCTCCCTCCCCCCTCCATCCCTTTTGCCTGTGCCACTCGGCTGTGGGCATGTCTCTTTATCGCTGCCACTGCCCCAAAAATGGCTCCACTTACTGTTATTGTGTTTGCTTTGGGCTTCCGTTTTTTCGAGCGCTCCGCTCTGCCACATCTTGTCGCAAGTCTTGTTGCTGCTTCGGTTATTTTCTGGTCATTGTGCGGCTTGTTTACGCAGTGGGCGTGCCTACAATGCCACCCAGTTGCCCGCAGGGCCCATCTCTGGGCCCAGTTAGTGACACTCAATTTAAATTTATGCCGGTTTATAATCATTGCCTGCCTGTCATAAAGCCGTGAAATGCTCTCTCGCTTCTTCTTCCTCCTTTCTTCCTGCTGGGGGTTGTTGCTGTGGGGCGGCCTTTTTACAGAATTGTGTAAACTGTTTAGCAGTTTACTGTTTGAAGGTCTTGGCTGCTCAATTAAATGATAATAAGGCATTATATCAGCGGCTTATACCAGCACCTGATGAGCCACATTTTAGCCTGGCCTTGCTACTCTACTCTACTCCTGTGCTTGCTAGACTTTTGGCATAATTTACAGCTGGAGTGTGCGTGTGTGTCGGTGAGAGTGTGTGTGGGTGTGTCTGCTGAGGTGTTGATTTCAGCAGCCAAGCGATGCGTAGTTTGCAGTTTCTTCAGCCATAATTAGACCAACTTTTCTTGCAAGCATTAAAAACTTGTTTCTGCCAGAAAAACTTCATTCTTAAATCTCTCAACTTTTCAACCTAAGCCCAAAACTTGCTTAACTTATGCGAACATTCATAAGGAGTACAATTATAAAAAATAATTATAATAATTATTGGGATTTAAAAATTTAAATCTAGATTATAATCCATGTTGAGTGCAATTTTCAAATTGTTTTCTAATAATTGAGAAGATATTTTGCATAACTTGTTTTCAAGTTTAGGGCATGTTGAATTTGGGGATATAATATATTTTGAAATATATTATAAAAGAGTAACTAAAAAAAAATTGCCTTTGCTATGAGAAAAATATATGTTATTAATTCGCAATTTACAGGATACTGTGCGATGATAAATGAGCATATGCTTTGTAGAATCAATATATGGCAATTGTTGTTCACTGGCAGCCGCACTTGCAACAACAATAAAGTTTAATTATTAACCAATGATTAAGTCGCATTACTCATGCCCAGACTTAATTACATGTGAGCGACTGACAGGACTTAAGTGAATTTCTGCTTTAAATCAATGCCATTTCAAACACACACGCACACACATGGATAAACACACACATTAAAATCCTCGCTGCGGGCTAACAAACTTGCAACCCTTTGCGCTTAAGCTCAGCAGAGCCCAGCCCGCAGTCCACAGCTCGTACCACCGCCAAGCTCTGCCCAGCCCACCGCCCACCGCCCGTTCACGCCACCCACACTTTAAATTGCGGCCATTTGGCCACTCAACGTTTAATGAGCAACAAATGTAATTTATTTATGGCGTCCACTCTTGAGGCCTTTGCCTCAGTTTCAGTCCGCAAAATGCTTCAAGTTTTCAGCACAATTACCATAAGCACACACACACACACACGGGTCAGATAGAGCGAGATAGATAGTGCGAGAAATGCTGTGTAAATCGCTGGCCACTTTTAGCTGACCGTTTTCTCAACGGCGTTGGCCACACTCTACCCCACTTATTCACTCACCCATTCTGTCTCTGTCTCTTTCGCTCACTGGCGTGCTTTGTGTGTGTGTGTGTGTGTGCAAAGTGTTGATATTTATGGATCATTTGCATATGTGTGCCAATGCTGAAGGGGCAGGCAGCTTTCTTTCCTGCCACGCTTGGCCAACAGCAACAATGGGGCAAAAAATGTTAACTGGCGAGACAGTAAAGCATTTGCTGCCACTTCCGCAAAGAGCAGCAGCCGGAGTAGCAGCAGCAGCAGCAGCAGCAGCAGTAGCAGGCGAGGATGTTGGATCTATGGAGCTGCTTTTGAAAGTTGTCCAGTTGCGGTAAACATAAATTCTCGTTGACACGTTAATATTGTTCCCTTTTGGTTTTGTTGAGTGTGAATGTGTATGTGTGTGTGTGTGTGTGTGGCCCAGACCAGGCGCACATTACAGCTGCTGCTGCTGCAGTCAGCTACTGCTATTTTGCTGAAAATGTCCAACAAAAGCTTAAAAACATTTAAAAGGGATTTATAGACATTTGGGGAATATGCCAGACAGCTGGACAGACGCCGCACAGTGCTGCTTTCAGACCCGACCAAGTACTATACAAGCCAGCCACAAAAGTCATTAAGCCACAGAGTGCGAGAGCAGGAGGACAACAGCGAGAGAGAGAGAGAACGAGAGAGACAGCGAATGAGTGAGATGTGGCCGAAAACAATAACAATTTTCGAGCTCAAATCTAATTCATGATTTCATTACCAAGTAGGGCGCGCCCATTTTCCGTTTTTAGAGTTCTTAGAGCAGCACAGAAAATCATTTCCTGTTTAGCACTCAATGCTGACCCCCCCACCCTACCCCGAACCCCCTTTCACTAGGCAAGTAAGCCCGTAATTGTCTTTGGGCCTTTTTTTACGGCCCAGTGATAACAACTGAAAGTGTCACTATCGACAAAATGAAAAGCCATTAAAGAAAATTACCCGACTTGACATTGAGTTTTCCAGGCATTAAATGGCACATCTGAAAACGCCTATGAAGTCCTCAATGTCCTGCTAATCACAATTTCTATTGGGGGGCGTTCACATGGGCGACACACTCTCAAAATTGAATTGGTTTTCGGGGCAGCCACAAAACAAAACAACAAAAACAACAACAACTGTTGCCTTTGATTTTGCCGTCAGTTGTCGTCTTTCTTCACCAAAAATGAATCAAGTTTGGCTGCTCTTCAGGGTGCTGGAGCTGATATTCGGATCGATCTGCATGGCTATTCACATCGCGGGCTCGTTGCACACTGCGGAGCCGGTGCCGCACTGTCTGCTCTTTTGTGGCACCTTTTTCGGCTTTATGCTCCTTGCGTTCATCCGTTGGGTACGGCTCATGAGCGGGCAGCGCACTCTGCTGCATCCGGCCATGTTTATAAGCCTTTCCGGCATGCTCTTGCATTTCATTTGTGCCTTGCAGTCCATGAGCTATGCAGAACACGATTTTCATTTGAAATATATGGGACCGACACAGGAGCTGGATCATATTTTCTTCGGCTTCTGCAAGCGGCAGAGTGTGGCATGCATTGTAACTGGAGCCACATATCTGATGCAATGCATATTGTTGCTCGATCTGATTGTCAAGTTGACGCCCAACGCGGACTTGTATCCCATGCAAATTGTCACAGAGCCACCCGTTTGGGATGATTCGTTTCAGAAAATGACCAACGAAGAGCTTGATAGGCTGGCCAGGACAACGGCAGATATATACCTTCTGGGCAAAAAAGTGGACTTTTGGCTCCGCGTCAAGTCCAAATGGTTTCGCCAATTAGCTGGTGGCCAGGAGATGTTGGCCTTCAACAGGGCGAACGCTGAACGCCATGATGTATCACAAGCTCTGTCAATTGATGTCACCATACGTGAATTCAATGATGATCTACCACTCCGATTGCCTAATCATTTAAATGAAGAACCAAATCCGGATTTAGCCCAAACTAAGTCGATAGGTGATCAGCAGGAAGAGGTCGACGATGAAGATGAGGTTGAAGACGTTGCTGCAGACGACGAAAAGAATATTAGACGCTGAGCTTGCTAGATGCAAGCTCCAACACGACTCAATACGACTTAGCACGAATAAACACGACTGCACACGAAACACACGGCTTTATTGCGTGTATAAACATGTACTTTTCAGAAATAAATACAACACAGCACGACTTAGTACGACTGAACACGGGCCATGTAATCCACACGAACTAACATGATATAGAAATAATTAGCCAAGATAGTCAGAGAAGACAATTAGTATATTTTTTTTAATAACAAACAGTTTTGTATACTGCAAGATGCATGTCTTTGCAGCATGCGTAAATTTGTAGGTCGTGTCTTTTTGAGAAATAAACACGACTTAACACGACTTGGCTCGACTCAATGTAGTAGGTCTTAACCAGGGCAGCTGCAAAGGAGAAACAAATATTAAAAACAAAAGGAAAGGTTTGTGTCTTTCTGTGAAATAAACCAGCAAGCGCTCATCGCTAGCCCATAAATACAAATTTCTGCAATTTTTATTTGAATTTATGCGTTAAATTTAAGCTCAGCTCTCGAAAATAGCAGTAAGTTAGGCATTCAGGTAAGACATACGACATTTGTATTTATGGTATGTCTGGCAGGCTGCAGAAAACCGCCCTCCCCCTCCCCAGAAATTGCTGTCACATATCCATTTCATGCATTTGACTGCCCAAATTGTCAACTTGACATGAAATTAGAAAAGCGCAAAGCATTTAAACATGCTCCAATATGCAAATGAAAATGCTCAAAGAAATATTTGTATATCGTATATACCAGACGTTCATATACAGAATTTATATACGCACACAGTTATACGAGATGCTTATGTATAAATAGAAATTTTTGCATGAATTTTATATTTTGTATGTCTGCGTTTTAAGGCCACAAAATGCTGTGATGACTGCATAAAATATTAAAAAATCTAATTTCCAAGTTTTCTTGCTTTCTCCAAGCTGGCACGCCCCTAAAAAAAAATATGCCAAGCAGCCCGTCAGCTTGCCAGCCCGCCCGTTTCCCTTGTAATTTGTATAAGCTTTTTAGGAGCGCCAAATGCAAAAATCGCTGGCTGAATGTCGCTCCTGTCTGCCTGTCCGTCTTTCCGTCCGTCTGTCTGTCGGACTGTCTCAAATCTCTCTGCACAGCGCTGACAGTCGCTCTGGCAAAATGAAATAAAAATATGCATGTTAAATAAAATGTCAACGATAACGCCATTTAAGGGCGTGGCGTAGGCGGGCGGCTGGGTGGGCTGTGTTGTAAAGTGAGCAAGATTTATGTCAACTAAACCAAATAAAACAACAAAAGGCATTTAAAATGGTAGCCAAACAGAAAACATAATGCGAATAATCATGAAGAAAGAAACTGGTAGTTGCCAAGGCTACCTGGGCTAACCCATAATAAGTGGCCAGCTCGAAGGTCAACGGCACTTGGAAGAGCACTCAAAGTAAGCTATATCTAGAACTATATGAATTGAATCCTCAACGGATAAGTTGGCTAAAGGACAGATGAAGGTAAGCCTGAACCGAACCAAATTGGTTGTTGGATTTGCAGCCTTGGTATTCACAACAATCTTTCAAGGCAAAGGCTTTTAGCTCCGTGCGTATTTCTCGCACGGAGCATCTAAGCAGTTTGAAAAGCACATAAAAGCTGTTGGCTGGATTTTAAATACAATTTAAGCTTTAAGCTGCTATGTTATTCCTATTGTTTTATGCATAAGGCTTTTAGCGTTCAACTCTTTTGCCAGATTATACGAATATTTAAGTGCCAGTTAGCCATAAGCATGCGTAAGCTCATTAGCAGTTGCCTTTGCAGCCAGTCAGTTAGTCTGTCGGGTTGCAGTCTGGTCCGTTTCTCGTTGGAAAAGGTGTAGCTTAAAGCAATCCATTGATTATCAGCTTCCGACTGGCGGCGGCGGCGTTGCCACATATTCCGCAGAAGCCAAAAGACTTGAGTGCTCTATCTCTCTCTCTCTCTCTCGCGCTCTCTCTCTGTCTTACTCTTTGTCTGTCTCATTCAACGTCATCCATCTTTTGTGTGCCAAATGGCACTCGGCAAAAGTTGCTGCAACCACTTCCGGCCATGCAATGGACTCTTGGCCAACCCTTCACCAACTCAATTGCATCTTTTGTCAGCTATTGTTGTTGTATTTGTGCGCCCTCTCTCTCTGTCTGTGTGTGTGTGTGAGTGTGGCTTTAATTGAATTGCTGTAAAAACGCGGCACAAATTATTGACTTCAAGTGGCAGCCAGCCAGGATATTTTCTTCTTGCTGCATTCGTTTCTTTCATTTCATTTCTTTTTTCTTCTTCTTTTTTTTTTGGCAGCCACAAAATTTTTTCCATAATTTGAGTGGCCTGTAGCTTCAAGGAGTTTGGCGAGCCAAAAAGCTCCCCAAAGTTTTCCATCAAAAACGTTTAGAATGTTTTTTCCTGTTGCCTGTTGGCGTACACACATTTCTTTTTATCCCCCACATGCGGCTGTCCCCAGTGTCTGCGCTCTGCCATTGCCCGCCACGCATTTTGCTATTGTTCAAGTTTGATCCCCCTCCCCCCTCTCCCCTCACCACTCTCCCCTCTCACACATTTCCTGGCCCGCCCACCCATGCCCTAACCTACTTTTGACTTGCTCAATGTTGGCTTCTTTTCAGTGTTTCAGTTTTGTTGTTGCGTCTGCTGTTGCTGCTGCTTCTTTTGGCTGGCGCACTCTTATTCTTTTTCTACAGCTTCATCTTCTTCTTGTTCTATTTATTGCTATTTTTTTTTTTTTTTGACATAAATTTGAAACTTTTCAGTTTTATTGTTGCGGACTCGTTGGCAGTAATGGATTTCAAATAGAGTTACTCATGGGTAAAATGTTTCATACTTTGGGGTATTAGCAAATCTGCAAGTTGACGACGACGACGACGAAGTGACTTTTCATATTAATATGTGACTTTACTATGCGACGCAACTGTACTTTTGTTGTTGTTGTTGTTCGTGGTCGTGCTGCGTTTCGATTCCATTTCGTTTCGTTTCGTTTCGTCTCGTTTTGTTTTGCATTGGCCGTTGCATACTTTTGTGCGCACTAAAAGCCTCAAGTTATTTGTTGCTGCCTTTTGGTCTGCTAATGCACATTTTATTGAAATAAATTCCGTGCCCACTTCAAGTTGTTGGCGCTCGCAGTGGGTCGTGGCTTTGGCTGTGGCTCTGCTCGTGGCACTTGCCGCTTCGTGTTTTGTGGCTGCTTTTAGCTGATTTTATGGCCTTAAGAGGCGTCCGCTGCTGCGGTGGTGGCGTTGATTTGCTGCGGTCTATACAGCCCAGGGGCCAGTTTATGGCCTCAAGTTGGCTCCAACAGCTTAAAGACGATACAGCAGTAAAGTCAGCTAGCAGCCAGCAGCAAACAGCTCGGCAGCCAGATTCCAAACGCACTTAAAAATGCAAATGATATTTACGTTTTTAGCTTGAGCTTCTTCTTCTGCTTAAGTGCAAAGTTAAACGACGCCCCAAAGTATGCCATGCTCGGCGTGCCTGGCCTGCATTTTTAATTACGCACTGCAAATCGGTGCAGCTAACAGCTGCTTGTTCTTCTGCTCTATCTTTACCTATTTCTGCCTCCACTTCCTCTTGAGCACACTCTCAAAAACCAATTCTCAGTATAACGATAACGTTCCTCTTTTTACAGCTGGAAATAAAGAGAGCCTAGTCGAATACCAGGCGAAATAGTTTTGATATGTATCTTGATGGTGCACAAAGGCAATTGATGAAACTGAGGCGAACGAGCTATAAGATGCATATTGATGTATCAGCAATTTGCATGCTGATGTTCGAGGATACATACTAACTAATTGGCCAGAACATTTGAATTTTAAGCAAATCTCTTAATATTGGCGATTTACAGGCTAAAGTGTTTAGTGAACCAGATCCATTGTCTGAGAAAAAACTTTGGTGTTGCATAAATGGAATCAGTTTTAATCTAAATATTAATACATCTGATTACAAGCATTTGAAATTCAGCTGACAAAACTGACTGAGCCCAAACTGATTTCTAATTGCATTAAAATTCAAACTTTCGTATTCACTGCATAGTAAATATTTCTTTCCCTGCCTGTTAGGCATGTTCTCCGCAGTAATTCTCGAATTTCGGACAAAATCATATTTTAGAACAGATTGTCAGATACCGTGGACCGCTGTATCTACTGCACGCGCGTATATGGGCCACACTTCCGACGACCGAAACGCGACGTAAGCGCATTTTAATGGCTTTTGTCTTGCCAGCTGCCTGCCAGCCGCGCCCACCTGCCCGGGCAGGTGAGCATAAAGTGGGCGTGGCTTGGCTGAGCTGGAGCATGTGGTGCATGATGCTTCGGGTGGTTTGTTGCATTTCAGTGTCATGCTGGCATTTAATTTCACTCACTGCGAAAATGTTTTATGTCTTGGGTAAACACTTGCTTCGCCTCGTTCGCGCTCAAGTGAATTTTATGCGCCGCACGACATTTTTGCAGCTGGTGCTTTGCATTCGTATTTTTTTTTTTTTCATTTTTTGTTGCCAACTTGGGCGAAAGTGAAAGCTTACAAAAAAAAGCAACAAGAAATACAACGACAACAACAGAGCAGCACACACAGGTGCAAATTTTATGTGCGCATTTCACACCTGCAGCATCACGTGGCACAAAAACACACACACACACAGTCGCACATCTGGAGTGTAGCGTGTAAAAATTTGCTACTTTAAATGTTGGCCAAGGGACGGGGCAGGAACCAAAGTGCTACAAAATCACAACACAAAAGAATTCAATCAGCAGTGCTTAGCAGGTAGCCTGGCACACGCACACACACAAACACACACACACACACACGCACACACACATGGCAGCCATTGCAGTTGCGGTTAACAGGCCAAGCGTAATATAAGCTTGAGCTCAAAAGCGAGCAACGTGTAAAGGTAAAAAGGGGCATCGGGTAGTGGAAAACTGGTGCACAAGTGAGCTTTGTGTGTGAGTGTGTGTGTGTAATGTGTGTTGTGATGTGTGCGTTTGGTCCATGCGTGGCATTTATTTTTGCATTTTAAGTTTGCCAGTGAACTCCCCTGTTGATGGCGACGTTGTCGCCGGCAAAGCGCAAAACCGGAAAGCACCACACACACACACACACACACGCACACATTTCCAACTGAGTGTGTTGCTTAAGCTGCTCGAAAAGGGCAGCTTTTAAACTTGCAAACAAGGTGGCAACGTGGAAAAGCCGCCAACGCCAACAGTTTCGATTTGTGTTTGTTCAATGCTCATTGGGTTTTCCACTTTTACGTTTTATTCCATTTTTGGCCATTTTTATTGCAATTCACCCAAATGGGTATAAATAAGAAAGCCACTTAAAAAGGCAGCCTGAAGTGACTTTTAAACAAATACCCAACACTGGCACTGGCACTGGCACTGCCATTGCTTTTACCTATCGAACTGCATTCGAAATGCAATAAAAATAATAATAAGAAGAGTAGAAATATAGTGGAAGT